CCCTAGTTTCCGAAATATCCATATTTTCCTTCCGAATTCCGAACCGAATAGCATTATTTCGGTTTTGGTTCGGTTTAATTTGGTTTCAGTTCGGTTCGGATTTACCGAACCGTTTGCCCAACCCTAGTCAGCCGCTCAGAAGAAGAATGCCCAGCTTAATCAAAGGGCGATGCACATCCTACAGTCAGCCATGGTGCCTGATGAAGCCGATAAAGTAGAACACTGCGAATCAGCTCAACAAATCTGGGTATCTCTTGAAAGCACTTATGAAGGGTCTTCAAACATCAAGGAAACCAGAATTGCTCTTCTGGTTCACGAATACGAGTGCTTCGACATGGGTCCAGGTGAGGGTATTCATGAAATGTACTCTCGATTCACTGTTCTTATTAACAAACTTAAAGGGCTAGGGAAAGTTTATCTTCTCAAAGATCTGAACAGAAAAATTTTGAGATCTTTTCCTAAAGAATGGCTCCCTAAACGAACTGTTATTGAAGAAGCTAGAAATCTAAATACTCTGGCCATAGATTAATTAACTGGGTCTCTTCTTAGTCATAAACATGTTTTAAAACAAGTTAACAAAGATGATGAGAAACGTAAGAAAACTCTAGCTTTTAAATCACAGGTAATTGAGTATGAATCTGACACTGAACTAGGAGAGGAGTTCTGTAGAGAGTTTGCTCTGATAAGTAACAAGTTTCACAGAATGCTGAAATACAAGCAAGATCAGAAACAAAAATCTCTTGATCGAAATGCATCTTATCGTACAAAGTCAAAAGTTCTTTTCAAGACAGGCTGCGTACTCCGCAGACCAGACAGTTTGATGCAGGAACTCAAGAGAATGAAACTCAGGATTGCTACAAATGTGGCAAACCAGGGCACATCCGTGCAAACTGTCCACTAACATTGAGAGCAAAAGAAAAGGCCATGAAAGCTACTTGGAGTGACTATGAGTCAGACGAAGAAGAAGATCCAGGAGACGAAAAAGCCTTCATGGCTTCCATAAGAAATGAGTTATACTCTAAAACAAGTCAGGACTCATCTACCTCACCTGATGACACAAAATGGTATCTTGACAGCGGATGTTCAAATCACATGTCAGGTAAGAATCATCTGTTCAATTCTCTTACTATGAAACGTGGTGGCAAAGTCACCTTTGGTGATGACAGTCAAGGTGTGATTATTGGGTCTGGAAGTATTGGCAAGAGTCCCTGTCCTGTTATAAGAAATGTGTTGCTTGTAGATGGCTTAAAACATAATCTTTTATCTATAAGTCAATTATGTAGTAATGGAAATCGTGTTATCTTTGAAAACGATAGGTGCTCAGTAGAACAAACCAATAATAACAAAGTTGTGTTCGTTGGAAAAAGAGTAAACAACATGTATATAGTAGATCTTACAGATCTGAGTCAGTTTAATGCTAAGTGCCTTCAAGTCTCATCGACTACCTCTGAGTATCTCTGGCATAAGAAGCTAGGACATGTAAGTCTGCCTAAGTTACTTTTCTGTCTAGACTAAGTCTAGCTAGAGGCATACCAAAACTTAAAGATAAGGCAGAATTCTTCTGCAATGCTTGTGTAGCTGGGAAACTAAAACGAAAAAGCTTTAAATCCAAGCCTGATATTACCACTTCAAGAACGTTTGAACAAATACACATGGACCTATTTGGCCCTTGCAATGTCACTAGCCTAGGAGGAAAGAACTATGTCTTTGTTCTGGTAGATGATTATTCTAGATTTCCATGGGTTTATTTCTTGGCTCACAAGGATGAGACTTTTGAAAAAATCTCGTTCCTTTGTCACTTTAAACAAAGAAAACATAAAAAAATATTCGTAGTGATAATGGAGGTGAGTTTATCTCTGAAAAATTTGTTGAATTCTGTGACAAATCTGGAGTAAGTCATTCTTTTTCTGCCCCTCGTACTCCTCAACAAAATGGGGTCGTAGAACGCAAAACCATTACCTTAATTGAGTGTGCTAGAACCATGCTTCTAGATTATAATCTTCCTAAGTTCTTCTGGGCTGAATCTGTAAACACTGCCTGTCATATCATTAATCGCGTTCTTGTGCGAAAACAATTAAATAAGACTCCTTATGAGATCTTAAAAGGAAAAACTCCTAAAATCTCCTACTTTCATCCTTTCGGATGCCCTTGCTATACTCTTAACACTCGAGATTCTCTTGGAAAATTTGATGCTAAATCTGATCCTGCTACATTCCTTGGATACTCATCCAAGGGTCAGGCTTACAGAGTGTTTAATAAGAGAACTAGAAAAGTGGAAGAATCAGTTCATGTTGTTTTCAATGAAACTGATTCAGAAACTCCAAATACAACCATGTTATATGATTTAAGTGAACTCACCACTTCTTGTCAAGTTCCTCTTAGTACACAGAGTGATACAGTGGAAGATTCAGAGGAGCTGCAACATTCTAATGAAAAATCAGAAGTTCCCAAAGCTCCTCCTCACATCCAGAAGAGCCACCCTGAAAAGCCAAGTCATAGGAAACATAAATGACAGACTACAAACAAGAGGTAAGTATATTCCTGGTCAATATGCTTTTGTTTCTCATATTGAACCCAAAGATTATAAAGAAGTTAGATGATGATGAATGAAATATTGATATGGTAGAGGAATTAACTCAGTTTGAACACCTACGTGTTTGGGACCTTGTCCCAAGACCCCCAAACGTCATTGTTATAGGAACTAAGTGGGTTTTCCGAAACAAATATGATGAAATGGGTTTTATTATTCGAAACAAGGCTAGGTTAGTAGCTCAGGGGTATCTTCAAGAAGAAGGTATTGATTATGATGAAATTCTCCCTTGTAGCTAGGTTGGAATCAATAAGACTTTTGTGTGCTTTTGCGAGTCACATGGGGTTCCCATTATACCAAATGGACGTCAAAAGTGCATTCTTAAATGGTTTTATACAAGGGAATGTTTATGTGTCTCAGCCCCCTGGGTTTACTAACTTTGAACATCCTGACCATGTCTATAAACTTAACAAAGCGTTATATGGACTCAAACAAGCGCCTAGGGCTTGGTTTGAACGCCTTACAACGTTTCTGCTTGAAAACTCTTTTGTTCAAGGAAGTATAGACAAAACTCTTTTCACAAAACAGGTCACAGGTAAAATTCTTTTGGTACATAGTTTTTGGATCCTCTAATCCATCTCTATGCACTTCTTTCTGTGAGACTATGAAATCTGTTTTCGAAATGAGTATGATGGGGGAACTAAAATTCTTTCTTGGCCTCCAAGTTAAACAGACTACTTCTGGTATCTTTATCGATCAATCCAAATATCTTCAGAATATGCTCAATAAGTTTGATTTACATAACGTTAAATCTAGCATTACTCCTATGGCTGTTAATCTCAAATTGGATAGGGATGAATCAGGAGTGCCTGTAGATGAAAAGAAGTATAGAGGAATGAGAGGGTCATTACTCTATCTCACTGTTAGTAGACCAGATATTCAGTACAATGTTTGTATTTGTGCTCGATTTCAGTCAGCCCCTAAAGAGAGTCATCTCACAGCTGTAAAAAGAATTTTTCGATATTTAAAAGGGACTCCTGAAGTAGGTCTATGGTATCCTAAACACAACAATTTTTCTCTAATAGGCTATAGCGATTCAGATTTTGCTGGGAGCTTAACTGATAGGAAAAGTACTACAGGCACATGCCAGTTTGTAGGGACTTCTCTAGTTTCTTGTTCGTGCAAAAAGTAGGGTGTTGTTGCTCTTTCTACTGCTGAGGCAGAATATATTGCCGCAGGCAGTTGCTGCACTCAGCTTATATGGCTTAAAAACCAGCTTAGGGACTATAACGTGATGACTAATTCAATACCCCTCCTGTGTGACAATACCAGTGCCATATGTATGTCTAAGAATCCGGTCTAGCATTCAAGAACTAAACATATTGAAGTTTAGTATCACTTTATTAGAGATTTGGTTCAGCAAAATACTATAATTATTAGTCATATTCCCACGGAATATCAATTGCCAGATTTTTTCACCAAATCATTAAACGCTGATATATTTACCTTCCTTTGTTATGAGATAGTTTTGCGATCTCCAGAAAATCTGGAAGATCTTACTTGACTGCTCGTCCTTCTGCTGCTGTGTTTTCTTTCTTTTTATAGCTGTATTTATTTTCCTTCATGTTTTTGAGTGACTTACTTCTTTTAATTCTTCCTTATTAGCGTCTTTAGTTCTCTATTTAAGTCTGCTTGATCCTCAGTCTTTATCATCTTTCCTCAGTCTTTAGAAGTCTTTTCTGCTCGTAGTTATGGTGCTAGGGTTCTCCAAAACCTTCACAGGTACTCTTTTTCATGACCCTATCCCTGCCAATGCCCATCATCACTCCATCTCCTTTCCTCATCATCCCTTCATACCAACTCATCATGTTCCCTTTGCTGATCTCATAGAGTATGGTCTTGATGTTACTGGGTATGTCCATAATCTGGGTTGGGATTTTTTTTTATTAATGACACCCCTGAGCATACCTGCCCTGAAGGTGTGCGTCTGTTTTTCTCAAACTTTAGGTCGTTTGGGCTTCACACTCGCACTTTCACCACTCTGATCTATGGCAACCTTGTCACTATCCCCCTTGAGGACCTTAGGCGTCTTCTCAATATCCCCAGGTTTGGGGAAATTCTGGCCAATGACTCTGAGTTTCCTCTTTTCAACTTTGACATCATTCATGAGTTTGTGCTTCTCACTGGTCATGAGCCTGATGCTTATCTCACGTTGCATGCTGCCTTCCTTCTTCCATCCCTTCGCACGTTTCACTATCTACTGACTCGTAGGTTTCTTCCTCGTACTGTTCTCCTTGATCGAGTCACCCCTCTCGATCTGTGGATTCTCCAACATGCTGTTCATAGTGTCCCGCTTGATTACTGTCATCTTCTGTTTGGACACCTATATCCCTTCCAACAATTCGAATACCTTGGCCATCTCCCTTTTGGTCCCCTGATCACTCGCCTCATCATTCGTCTTGGAATTTCCATGGACCCTTTTCGTATCGTCACCCCCAATGTCTATCTCACTGCTGACGATATCCTCGACAAGATTGCGATTGCCGTTGAGGGGGAGGACACTGATGATAGTGATAATGATGCTGATGACACTGATGATAATTCTGATGACGACGGACCGGTGGAAGAACTAGACAAGGAGGAAGCTGTAGCTGTTGAGCCTGAAGGTGAGGCTGAACTCGTCCCTGGTATTGAAGTTCACTGGATCAGTAGTGACGACGACTCTGATAGCGATGATTATGCTGATTCCGCCTCTGGTACTCCGTCTTTGGCAGCAGTCCTGGCTGATCTCAGGGACGTGTATTATTCTGAGTGACTCTTTCCTTTGTGTCAGGCTTCAATTTTAGCCTTCATGTTTAAGCTTCAGTTTGTGTCTGGATGTTCTGTTTAAGCTTGCTGAACTTACTTGGTTTGTCTTTGCTTGTACTTAACTAGACTGGTTTGTTGGGCGTGTTTTACCAGCTGTTTAATCGATTAGTTTTTCTCAAACCATTTGCTTGTGGTTGTTCGATTTTGTTGTGCTCCGGGAAGGGTATACTTATTTTGCAGGTCTCAATCGGACAATCAGCAATCTCTAACTTAGGGGGAGATTGTTGGATTGAAAGATTTCAATCATATCAAGTCACGAGATTGCTTAGTCTAAATTGGAGGAATCAAGGGAATTGGAGCCGTAATCAAGGGGGAGCTGCTGCTTGACGAAATCACAAACCTTCCATGACTGGAATGGCTCGAATGACAATAGTCCAAAACTACTTCCTTGAAGCCTATTTAAAGGAAGATCGGAGTCTGTTTCTGTTACTGGTTCTGGGATTCTTTGTGGAATAGGGCAAAGGGTTGGGGAATTGACAGTGGCTTTGATCAATACTGAGGAATAGGTTCAGTTGATCAAAGGTGTAAGTGAATTCCTGTGTGAATTCGGATCTTGTCACCATAGCTTTTAATTTTCACATTAGAGTCTGTAATCGAGTCTTTTTGCCTTCTTTTCTCATAGCAAGAAAATCAAAAGTGTCTCTCGGAATAGTGTCGTGTCTACTATTCCGGGACGAGGAGTAGCCCTGTGGTGAACCTCGTTAAAAATTCTGCTGTGTCCTTTATTTTCTGCTTTCTGTTCTTCGATCTTTTCTAGCTTCCCCTGTTTTTCGACTCTCTGTTTCTGGTCTGTCTGGCTCAACGAAGAAGAAGAACAATCTTCTTTCTTCTGTGCTGAGTTAAGCCTTGGACCAATGTTGAAGGCAAGCCCAGTTTAAATCTGTGGGCTTTGCTTGAGATAGCCCAATCGAAACTTGCTCTTTCTGATGAGTCAATATTGGTTCGATTTATTTAGGTTTAGATTATTCTTTGACCGTTGAAAGTCAAAATCCCTAAGTGTTCTCTTCCCATTTCCAACCATCTCTTTTCTTCATGTTCGGGTTCAAATCTTATTGTCGTTTCTTTATGATAGTACAATATATGATGTTTACTGATTAGTACAGAATTGTCCTAATTGGATCAAGAGATATAATCGATGTTGGGGTTTAAATCTTGATGTTTACTGTTAGTCCTACCTCGTCCAAATTGTACAGGGAGTTATAATCGAGTGAACAGACTTTAGTAATGAATCGCTTTTTATAATTAATTGCAGAATTTTTTGGTATTTAATAGACAATAGCTTTTAGTACCATACTATCATTGGTAAAACAAGAACGACATACATACACGAAGAAACTGGGGATTTGTGGGTCGTCAGCATGCTAACCCCCCTTAGGGGTTGGAAAAATGACAACCCCTTAGTATATTAAATACAACTATAATTAATACATAATAATTAATACACACATTAAATACACATTAGGAATTAAATGTATCATATTAATTAGGAATTCTCTCACTATTAAATACACATTAGGAATTAAATACACATTAGGAATTAAATACACACATGAAATACACATTATGAATTCTCTCACTATATTTGATTTTTCCTTTTTCAGCAGTCTCCGACCACCAGACTTCCTCCGACCGCCACACTTCTCCGGTGAAAATCCCATCGGCAGACTCCCTCCGACCACCTCCAAAAAATATACCACTGCACTGATACGGTGTACCACTGTACTGGTAGATATACCACTGCACTGATACGTTGTACCACTGTACTGGTAGATATACCACTGCACTGATACGTTGTACCACTGTACTGGTAGATATACCATTGCACTGGTAGCAATGTCATATCTGAGTATCAGTGCAGTGGTACAAATACCAATAAAGTGGTAATTAATGTGGTGTATTTAATGCTTACTTTGTATTATAACAGAACATTTATTATGTTTACTTTCATTAATACTTGTCAATAATTAATGAAAAATTGACCAATTAAAGGGGTGTCATTTTTCCAACCCTTAAGGGGTTAGCACCCGTCCCGAAGAAACTCATCTCTCCAAAGGAAGCGACAAAGTCTAAATATTGGGTGTTGTTTCTTAAAAATTAAGCTATCAATTGTTAGGTGATTGTTGTCATCATCATGTTAACCGCTACTTTGAACTTATGGGGAAAAAATTGATTGACCAAATACACATTTAAGCATATGCATCTGGATGGATGATTTTACAATTTAAGAATTGACCGATCTCGATCATTTTTTTTATGAACCCTTAAAATTGAAGACATGTGAGAATTGGAATGTCTTACTTGTGAACATGTTGTGTGCTTATTACTTCGTTGTTGCTTGATCTTTTTTGTCACTCAAGTGAATTATTTTATAACTGTGGATTTTACCATTTTGTATAACTCTACATAATTTATTTTAAATAAAACGTGATTTTGGAAGACCATAAGGATTTGACCAATTAAAATTTCTTATAAAAACTCCAATATTGCATTAAAAACCATTTAATCGCACTAACTCAAATCAAATCACTCAAGAATAATCTTGTATCATTCATGTACATGTATGTGAAAACATACGTCCAGTATCAGAGTCAGCGGCGGATTGAGGGGGCCGCCTCCAGGCCACGACCCAGCCCTCTCCATATACAGAGCTAGTATATCACTTGAATTTTTTTGATTTTATGTATACATTTCTATTTTTATTTGGGTTACGATCCAATCTTCTTGATCTCGTTTCAAATGTGGCTGAGCGCTCTTCCTTATTCTGGATCCACCTCTGATTAAAGTGGGTGGGTGTCAATCTGGATGATTCTTGTCTTGGTCTTCCAACCAAATAAATATTTTTTACTTAGTCAAACAACTCAAGTAACACAGAGTTCATTCAAAAACAAGAAAACAGAGTTGGTGGGACTTTTCTCTGTATGCTCAAGAAGACGGTGCAAACAATAATATATCTCATACACAGGAAGTGCAAGATTGAATATTGAGATGAAGATGATGATGAATTTAGCCAATACATGTAATCAGAAGAATTTGTCGTATTCTTGTATTAAAATGGAACATAATGTTTATATTTGAACAGTAGATGGGTCCACCAGAATTATTCACTATGAATGATTGTTAATCTTAACTTTTAGCAGGATTGTGTTTGAGGGATTGTTATCTTATTTTTTTCTTCTTTATTTGTTAAGAAAGCACCAAAATCATTCAATCTCCAAACAATGTATTTTTCAAATTTATAGGGGTAAAATAACTCGGATACCAGTTAAGTTTAAGAATTAGGGCAGACATACCACTTAATTTTTTATAGGGCGTCGGGTACCATTAAAGTCGCCAAAAGGTGCATCCGTCTAGTTTTCCATCCAACCCAAAACTTTTATCAACTTTTTTTACCCAAAATTTTTTAAAACATCCAAAACTATATTTCAAGAATATTATCTAATATAAAAATTTGAAAACCTTCTAAACATAGTATTACTAGAATGGCTAAAGAAATTTTTTCAATAAAATATATAAATTAATAAAAATAATAAACGAATGTCAAGAAGTAATAATAAATATTTAAAATTAATATTAGAACATTTATTTAAACCCCTAATACAATGAGAAGCATCATTAAAAACAGTTAAATTAGAATCTAATTGAACATCAATATATCAAGACCAATTAAAGATAAATGAAATACCATCATAAAGAACTAAACATATTCCAATAATTGATAAAAATTTAAACTAAAAACAGACGGAAATTAACCAAGTAATATGTAAATTTTAAAAGATACAATATTGAGTAATAAATCTAGAAAAGAAAATATAACTATAGGAAGAGAATTACAATTAGTAAATTTAACTAATATGAAATGCATCTACATAATATTAGAGAATTACAAGGAGATTTAATTTAGAAAATTAGACAAAATTAGCATGATGTAAAAGAACTAAATATACCATTCTTACATTATTTATATCGAGACAAAATTCATAGGATATATTTGTTTAAGGGAATAATTCAATTATTATAATACATAATTAAAAATGCTTATAATGATAATTGATTCTAAATTTTTTATTCAAAAATTGGTTTGGTATAAAATAGATTCTTTAAAATATTATTCCAACTAAACAATAAAAAATGTTGTTTTTCATAAGTCCAAAGGATTTTTTACAATCACAAAAAGCAGAAGGACCATTTCTGAAATTTAGAAAACAGAATATTCCAAGAATATTCCGTCAACTTTAACGGAATGCACCTGACAGTAAACTTAAGTGGTATCGGATGCACATATAATAGATTTCAGTGGCACGCAATGCCCTATTCTTACTTAAGTGGTATAACTGCCACAATACTCATATTTTAGTGGTACCCAAGGTATTTTATCCCAAATTTATACATTGAAACAATACATCTATTTATAATACATACACTGGTTAAATATATCAATTAGAGAATCATACCTTCCAAACATGCCCAAAAAGTTACACCCTTTAATTTGACTCTGTTTTGTCCTAAGCATCAGATCGGGCTCGATATCAAGCTTAGGCTGTGGGACGAGTTTGCATGTGGATATTGACTAGCTGGCCTTTTAGGCCATTGCAGCACTGATGTGGATGCAGAGGTGACCCTGGTCGATCCATTGGGCTAATGAAGTTGAGATTGGCCAGGACATCAACATGGTCCAGGCTCCAAAGTAGATATCTTATAGATTTTTGTTAGGAATGTGCATGATCATCATATCATAATAATATTACTATATGGAGGTTCTCATTCAGAACATTCTTCATTTAGAATTTGCAGCTTTTTTCAGCCTTTTGAGTGCTTGTAGGAAGGATAATTTAGTAAATTTAACTATTAAAGATAAAAAAAATTGAGAGAAAAATATAATAAATATATTCGCTCCATCCCATCCTAATAATCAGCTAACTAGCCAAAGAAAGGCATTAATTAGCTAAC